AATTCCTCATCAACCTGGCCAAGCACAAAGAGAACCTTGTCAGGACTGGGGCCGCCGAGAGGCATGACTGAACCTGTTGTCTGCTTTTCCGGCAGTAGACCAAGGGGAATGCCCTTGGTTTATGTCGGTATGCGGCGCGTTTAATCAAATGGTTGACCTTTATCTAGTGTCTCGTAGGGATTGCATCGCTTTGGAAGCTGGATTGGCGGACCTGGTATTGATTGATTGTATTTTATCGTGGAAGCGTTGGCGGACCTGGTACTCGGTGGAGTCAGGGTCACGATGGGTGTCGTAACTTGGGAGGCCCGCAGTGGGTAGCATGGAAAGTTCACGGGTGATTCGAGGGCCAAGCGAGGCTATCTTAAGAAAAAATCTATGCACTTTATGCTGCATGGGTTTCCTCAAGTACTACTTATGGATGTCTACGCAAGGAGACTAGGCCCCCAAGGGAGCTGCGCCGGTAACAACTATTTTAAATAGCAGCTGTCATTACCGGACTGATGACAAGTGGTTCCAGAATATCAGCATCTATTCTACGCTCCATTTGACCATGCAGACCATCGATCTAAACTCACTCGGCGATCACAACCTACGTACTGTTCCACAATGACTTGCACCTGTCTTTCTAACACCCCAGGCTAGTGAATCACTTCCTCATCTGCAAGAAGGGTTTCAATATGATTTCCAGTGGCCTCAACAGCTTCAAAGTGCACCCCCATCCTATCCGTGGTCAGGACCTGAGATACCTACAAGGTGAGGCTTGGCACAGCTGTGCCCATGAACTTGGCTGATCGCATATAGTGATGTTGTACAGTCACAATACGGCACTGGCACTGTTAATGTTCCTACCCCGGTCCAAATCGCATCAGCAATGCTGCAAGCCCAGATTTTTTCTATACACCCAGCGTGGGCGCGGACAGACTTCATATCGTGCTCTACTTATGAAGAGGACTCCATATTTTCGAACGTACTCCGATCAAATTCGCACATCCATATGGACCCTCAACAAGACAAAGAACATCAAGATTTCGTCACAAGCAACGGGGAGACTCGATGTTGGGAACATGGATGTGATGGCCGTCAGTTCTCTACTCGCAGCAATCTTGTTCGACATCAGCATGAGAGGTCCGGACAAGCAACTAGGCATGCTTGCAATGTATGCAGAAAAACATTCAGTAGGATGGAATCAAGGAGACGTCACGCCAGGAAACATTCACCCAAACTTACATAGAGTAGTAGCAACGGGAAGACGGCAACAGGCATACTAGAACGGAAATAATATCACCACCACGTTTATCGTCTATGTTTTTAAGCCTGATGGTTTAAAAGCATGTATTATAATGGAGTAGTTCTTCATGTAAATAAAAGAGTATGATTTAATCGCTAACAACGTAAAAGTGCCGTGGATATTGTTATTGCTAGGGCACCGCAACAGCTAAAGTCTACAATAATCTCCACAGCAAAATAGTAACCCGAGTGAGTATAATGTGTATGTAGCAGAGAGGGCGCTGCTTGGAGACGTAGCAGCTACTGAGGGCTGCCGCTTGAAGCCTTTCATACGCGCAGCTCGGGAAATTTTGGGGTACAGAAAATCTCTTCCTACTACAATGTATTGGGAGGCCACCTCGCTGACTTGGAAAGTTCCTCCTTGCCCTTCTTCACCCTCCGATTCCTCCTTCGAAGTAGGACCAACCTGGATAAGCTGTCACGATCTTGCTTAAAGCATGTGTCATATGATTCATTTACCAAGAAGATACCGATACATTACTGTGGGATAAGTTACTGTCCGCTATCCGCGAATCATTGTATTTTAAGAAACTAACTATATGCTAGTCCTCTTGCTAGTAATGTATTTATAATTCCGGCTACGCACCATTGCTTATAATAAATGACTTGATAGGGACTAATGTGTTACAACGCGTGTAGGACAACCGTTGCGCTATGAGGAAAAAGCTTCAACAATGACCCGAATGGTCATTGACTCCTATTTCTGTACTATGTGCATTACTCCGCACAGCGACCCACTGTGCGACCGTAACATTGACCACCTCTTCTGAAGCAGACAATGTGGCCCGGATATTCTTTATATCGCAACCAGTGACCAAGGGAGCAATGGTCGAAGAATGATTCCAGCACGGATCTAATGCGCTAGAACTCGTTAGATGGTCATATGTAAAGAGGTTCAGGCAGCTCACAATATCGTCGAGGACATATCGCTTGCAAAAGTCAAGGCCGTATTCCGATGAGTAGGGAAAGCCCCTCTGCTCCATATCCATTATATGCTCTCCCACTGCTGTATCTTCTAGGTCAAAGAATCCCTCCTCAAGGAGAGACTCCTTCGCAGCACTCAAGGAGAACGTGATTGACGCCATGGAGATGAATCTTCAAATTGCCGCACCCAAGCTGGTGACTTGTTCCTGGATGCCTAACGCGGGGTAGGATAGTGGGACATTTTAACCGAAGATGACCCGTAGCGTTCATTCTAAGCCGAACAACCACCTCTTTGAGACGTAACCTAGTGGATAGACCATACACAGTATAAAATTGTGTCACTAACACACGCGATAATTGTACGTTTCACCGACGCGCTTCCGCCATATCAAAGGGACATGAGCAACACGCAGTACATAGGACGCCTTTGAAAACTTCGCTAGGCTACACAAAACGCTCCGGATCGAAGCTGTTCATTATGAGTAGCTGGCAAGTGGTGAGAGGCATCTGGAAATGCCATATTACCCCACTAGATGTGGCTAGTGTGTGTGGCTTGCTGTGGCTCAACGCTATCGCAGGAGTGCAGTTTCTTAATCTCCTTTCGGAAATTCATCTACAAGCATCCCACTTCTGTGATGCCTGCTACTTATACAGGCATCCCACTTCTGTGATGCCTGCTACCTATACAGGCATCCCACTTCTGTGATGCCTGCTACCTATACAGGCATCCCACTTCTGTGATGCCTGTTACTTATCCAACTACCATGCTTCCGGCGCAATCGCAGAGACGTGGGCAAATAGTACCCACGCTCTCAAGCTCTATGCACAAGCTAGATGCGCCAATCAAGTCCGACCAGGGAAAAGCTGCAATGGCAAGGCTGACTCGAATTCTCTGTTAATATTAACCCAATGGACTACCACGCGCGGATTGTCGTTACCCATACAGCATACGACTAATGTCGCACAATTAAAAGATTGAAGCAAGCTGCAATCCCCAAGGCAAAGTCGTATAATAAGCTACGACATAACACGTTTGCAATTGGTTTACATCAGTTCGCTAGGAATCAGGGCCGTCATGGCAAGATGAGCAGCTTTTTGCGGTCGCAGAATAGGCCATGCAGTACCTGGGAAATAGGCAGAATATCCTAACTAAGTGCAGGGCTGGCTATCATGTGGTATTTCTTGATTCATTTGTAGATCTCAGCGACGACAGGAGTAGTGTTGTAGAATAAACTGTATAGGAATATCATAAATTAGTAGCTAACCATAGAACGTATCGACCGTGGGGCTTTCATTTGGCTGTTTATGGGCTGTTGTCCCAGCCGGACAGACGATGCGTAGGTCGACAAGGAGTGACCACGACCGAGTAGGTTCTGCGGTACGAGTGAGGCCTACAGTTGGACCATATGACACGTCCGGGCTTGAAATTACTAGCCGGGGCTTTCGACGGTGCATGCCAACGGCATATAGACGACTATTGGTGGATTCCTCATGGGAATTGCGGGATGGGATGAGGCCTACTGGCAGACAAGCTAGTACCTTGGATACTGACCTTGCTCCTACTTCTTCCGTGCCTCGTTGTCTTCTCTTGCCTGCCTGAATCTCCGCCTTGATGCCAGCCACCATGTCAACCTCCTCCGTTCCGGGGACCAACCGATCCCAGAAGGTACATAACCGAGATATCCGTACGGCAGCCCCCAACCCTGGTCTTGAACGCCGACGACGCACTCCTTGGGTAGGTTTTTACAGCTCACAAGCTTCACTACAATGCTACATGGCCTTCGGCAAATCTTGGGGTGCAGCAGTAGCAGCATAATCCTACGTATTATTATTGTTGCCGCAGGATATACGATCGAATTGGAGTAGGTTTGATATGGAGATGCGGCTCCTCAAAACCGCAGTCTTGACCTACATTGCATGGTTTGATGCAGAATGGAAAGGCATGCATGTAAGTCACTTTATTACATAGAATAGCTAGCGAGTGGTGCGGTGGAAAGGACATTGACATGTACTTCACAGTCATTAGGACTATTTTCTGGGGGTCCTGGCTCCGGTGTTAGTCGTAGTGGTCGATATAAGTATAGGGGAATCCATAGCCACTTGTAAGCCGCCCATCTGACCTCAAATTTCTCCATCAGTTCATCCATGTTAATCAGGCGGCATCTTGTCACAGTCTAGGTCTTGTACGCCAATCGCGAGGTGACCAAGAACATATCCATCGCGGTACTATTATTTGAGGCCCAGCAGCCATCATCGACAGAAACAACTGCAACTGTTGATGTGTATGTCAACACCATTCCACGCTCGCCTCAGATCTGTCTACAGCGTCGTCACAATCATTGAGATCGAGGATCAAGGTTAGACAGTGGTCCTGTCCATTACATGGTATTCCTCCAATGTCTTGCTAACATTTTATTGAGTCAGACTTTTGAGCTTCAGACCACTCAACAACAACTTGTCTTGCCCAGACACAGCACCCAACCCCTCCCCCATATCCTCCTAGTTTTGAACAGGTCAGTTTATTGCAGACCACAAGTTAGCAATTTCACTAACATGGGCTACTATAACTCCAGCCGTCGACCCCATCATACGTTCGTCGCGAACTTCAATCTCCTCAAGTCAACATTACCTCCTATACGCCATGCCTGAGCCTGATGTTGGAACAAATGGGGACTCGGGAGGGAAAGGCGATACCATTGCTACAGATGACATAAATCACGATCGGAACGGCTCTTCAAGGGGGAATATGTAATGATACAGTAATAGGGGAAAGATATACAAAAAGACTGATGGGTGACCACCTTTCCGGACCAAAGTGCAGAGGTCTGTTTGTCAAAAGGAACCGGTTGGATGGCAGCACAGAGCTCATCGCTGCTCAAGCGTTCCTTGACGAAGATCATGGCGAACTAGACTCGCAGCCGGCCAACGACAACAATAACTATACCCTCAGTCGGATAGGCAAGCACAATGTCGTTATTGTTGTACTGCCGCACTGGGAGTACGGGCTCGTAAATGCTGCGAACGTTGCTAGGGATATGATAGGCAGCTTTCCAAATCTCAGAGTTGGCCTCATGGTTGGCATCGGCGGTGGTGCTCCGGCCAAGCACGATATCCGCCTAGGGGACGTCGTCGTCAGATATGCTGGCTATGGGCACGGCGGCGTGTACCAGTACGACTACGGGAAGACTATCCAGAACAAGGCCTTCGTTCCCACGGGGTTCTTGAACAAGCCACCAACATTCATAATGGCTGCAGCGGCCGCACTTAACGCTACTTATCGGATGAAGGGACACCAGCTCAAGAAAGCAATTGGGAGCGCCCTTGATCGAATTCCAAGGCTGCAACATGAGTTTCGACAACCAAACGCTAGCACGGACCGGCTTTATAAACCCAAAATCCTCCATACTGCTAGAGACGACGAGGACTGCTTGGCTGCTTGCGGAGACGACGAGTCGAAACTGACTATCCGGCGTGCACGATCGGCGGACGACGATGATCCCGTCATACACTACGGCCTTGTTGCTTCCGCCAACCAACTCATGAAGGACGCCTCACGACAATGATCCCGTCATACACTACGGCCTTATAGCTTCCGCCAACCAACTCATGAAGGACGCTTCAATTCGCGATAAGATTTCGATCGAAAAGGACGTCTTGTGCTTCGAGGTGGAAGCTGCTGGACTGATGAATCAATTCCCCTTCCTGGTCGTCCGTGGCATTTGCGACTATGCTGATAGTCATAAGAACTCGCTTTGGCAAGGCTACGCTGCAATGACAGCAGTCGCGTACACGCGGGGTCTCCCCCACAGGATCGCACCAAACAAGGTGGAGGCCGAGAAAAAGTTGGGCGATATCTAGTGTTACGGTACAAGTACATTGTACCTCCACATGTACCTATATATATGGGAGGCCCACCTCTCACCTGAAGCGGCCTGCCTTCTTCCTTCCTTCTTCATAGATCGTTGAATCTAGCTTTATCTATCCATCAGTCCTGACCAGTTGTACTGCAGGCCTGATCGTCACATTTGTTAGATGGTTAGTGCTCTTGCATCCTTGGGATTTTGTCGGAATATCGTCATTAGCCATGCCGCGGTCCCAGAGCCCGTCTGGTCCTTTCTGATAATTTTTGCACTCATCATCGATGGTAGTAACAACGTCCTGCTGCCAGCAGTACTCGGCTACATTGTTAGATAGACCACTTCAGTGTTTTCGAAGTAGCTGCGATCGCGATACGCGCTCTCAAGTCTCTTGTCTCGGTCTCTAGACTGTCTTCTGTGCTGGAATACGCCCAAAGACAAGCACTTCATTGAGCATTTCGTCTGTCCAAACGGCAAGCGGAACCATGCCTGGGTCCTGGAGGCGGGGATTTGATCGGAAGCAGGAAGAAAGTTCAAGTCTATATTTAGTCAGAATACCAAACGAGCGGTAAACACGTCGACATCTAATCTAGTATCTGAAATGAGGAACGTTTTATTCTTCGTTATTCTTTCAAGGACTGATGCATTCCAAGCAACTCTAACCAGAACATTTTCTCATCAGTAACATGTCTTCCCTTCAACTACCTGAACAATATACCATTTCTTCCTTTTCAGAAAGAACATCAATTTCTCAGCCTTTGTCATCTTGGATACAGCAAGTGTCGACAGCCCATGCCAAGCTACTACAGGAAGTCATCCCAAGGAATGCCCTGCTCTTGCCAGTTCTCCATATCGTCTTGGTTTTGATGACGAGAGCATTTCAGTGTTTCGGGAAGATTACGTTCATCATGTAATCGCACAATGAAAGGCCACATACACTGGCCCCGTCGGTTGACGCGAACAGCGGCTTGGGCTTCTTCTTTAGCATTACAAGCAGGCTCTAACATTACGTAGTAATTTGCGCGTTGCATGCTTAGCGCCGTGCCACAGATACAGTAGGTGGAGACAATGATCTTATTGCGCGATTGACTCGTGCAGTCGGACATCAAGTCTTCAATCATTTCTCTGCGCCCGTATCCAGGTGTCTTCTCAGTGGCCACCTTGCGCATGCGTCCGTTGATCAGCATCACCTTGACTTTCGGATACTTGACGCACAGTAACATGAAGGTAATGTAGCTGGAGACAGGCGTGTCAGACAAGACAATCATGTGTCGGATGTTCGTGCTATCAGCAGGGCCAGGATCGTCACCGGCGCCGGGCCGGCGGTCCCTGTATGCCACCATGCCGTTTATATATTGACAGAACTGGGCAAATTTCGAAGACTGCTTTATGAGCTGTGTGCGATATGGCCAGAACGGGGATGTGGCTAACTGCCGCTGCAAGTCGTTTAGGCTGGCATCGGTAGCTACAAGCAAGCAGGCCTCATCTCCATGGCGATTGATGTTATTGCATTCAAGGTCCTCCTCCGTGACGAGCTTGTCCAGATAAAGGCGAGCGACTTCGGGGTAAACGTTCGCACGAAGCAGCTGTGTCCAGATGCCGCCACCACCTTTGCCCAGTTTTAACGCTGCGGCACCCTCTCCACCGAAGAACTCGAGTTCGACGCTGTGCTGGGTAGGTTCAGGACCCCGCCTTCCGTCGACTGTCCAAGCATTGTGCCTCTCGTCGAAAGCCTTTCTAACATATGCCTGGACGTTGGCAGTCAGCTTGCAAAATGCATTGCGGCCAGCCCCATTAACCATGTTGCACTCGACGCGTCATACGACAATTTCTCGTCCGGCATCGCCAATAGTCTGGCCGCGAAAGGTGTCCACATTGCGACGGGCCATGAGAACATGGGGGACAAGGTTCTTCATTAACTTGCCGATCGATTTCTTGCGTTTGTTCACCTCATCCTTGGTCTTTTGGTTCCTTACAATATGGTGTTTTTGCAACAGGTAGTTCCAGTCAATTTTCTTGTCTTCAAGCTCAGTCACGTTGGTAATACCGCCGATGCTGGGCCTGCCTTCGTGTTGTTCACCCTTGACTCGAAGAATGTGATCAAGGATGTTGGTCAGTTGGCCAGGACCACCGCCCGAGATGAAGCCTGAGATGGCGAAGGCGACCGTGGGATCCCAGGACTTTTCGGTGATAGTTTTCAGCAGGGCGAACGGCTGAGTCGGACTTGAAAGAGAGCCGCGGTAGGTATGCGCCTCATCAAAAAAGACGAAAGTTGCAGCAAGACCATTGGTAGTGAACACCTTGCCCTCGTGGTCTGTACCATCCTCAGCTTTGTACCTGACACCTTTGTCGTTATAAGCTTTGCGTAGCCCCGGTGCCCCAGACAAGCTGACCAACAAGAACCAGTTGCTAAGTCCCTCTCGGCCTTTGAGATGACATTCAAGTTGTTGGTTTCGTTGGTTCACGTAGCACCTTGTGGCCTTAGCCATGGTTTGCCGAACACGGTCGCTGGTATGATGATATGTTTCATCTCCTTTGAAGTTATTATACAAAATGGAGAAATGGAGATGCTGCATGATGGGATGGCCTGCGTCGATGAGCTTTTCAAACTCTCAACGCCAGTCGTGGATCGAGCTCGGAGGGACGAAGCATATGGTGGGCAGCGACGCCAGCATGGTGGCCACCAGATATGTCTGTCCGAACTTGACACAAGGACAAAGTAGACCGTAAGGTGAGACGCGCTGGCTGGGGCAGACAGAGTCCATCATTTTCTCTTAGTCCTGGGTCAGGTGCGTACGGCCATCGACGGTACGGCCTGCCTTCCAAAAGTCTTATACTTCTGTATGATTCGCCTTGATGAGAGCGAATATAACAAAGGCGGCAAGCACCTTAATCGTCTTGCCCAGACCCATTTCGTCACCAAGGCAGCCGCCCGGCATGCCCCGTTTTAGGAACTGTGTCACCAGCCACCAGACGGCGTGAAGTTGGTAGGCAGAGATAGTCAGCTTAAAGCCAACCGGTCTGTGCTCAGTGATATTCTCTTGGCACTGGAACAGGCGGCATAGGCTTGTCCAGTTTTCTGCAGAGATGGTGCGATTGGCAAACTGCCCGCCAAGATTTTCGATCTCGTCTTGGTGTCCCTCCTCGTCGGCGTCATTATCCATATTATCGACCGGTATGGCATTTCCGTCGGGAGATGCGGGTGAGGACTGATCATCGTCATATTCGTTATCACTACTAATATAAACCACTTCCCGAGGCGCTAGCTTTATAGGCTCAGCAGCACTTTGCGTCTTGGGAGCACAGGAAGTTGCATTTCTGTGATGTGTTTATACCATCCCCTCGGAGTCGCTGGTTAGGTCTTCACCAGTGTCGGTGCTGTGGTCCTCAAAACTGGTACTGGCAGCTTTCCCTGTGTGCCGCGGTGGCGGCGCTATTGCGCGACTGGGTTCGTGTTTCTAGTTTGCTAGGTCTTGGAGCCATCTGGTTCGGAGTCGATCTCAAACCGAAGGCTTCAGGTTTGCGGCGCCACGTACAAGTTCGATTTTTGTGCTCCATGGGCATGTGGCAATCTGACGCCGCAAGGCAGCAATACGCTCGTCGAGGTGCCGCAGATCCTCGGATATCTTGCCAAGAGATTGGCGATGGGGACCCTCCCGGAGGCTACGCTAAGTCTCGAGTGCCTTGTGCCGTAGATCGTCCTCCTTCTCTTTCCACCATTCAGTTTCGTAATGCTAGAATATCTCGTTAAGGATAATTTCGATCGCTTGGGCAGTGAGACTGTTGCTGTGTGGTTGTCGGCTCCTACGCTCTCCCTGTTCTTCTTGAATCTCTTTCCAAGTTTCCGAGTCATATTCTTCATCAGACTCGCCATAAAGTGGGAGAACCTCGTCATCGAAGGGGTCGTTGAGGGGTGTGATTGAATCTGCTGCTTGCTGTTTGCGGCCGCGGGGGAGAGGCGACCCTCGGCAACGTCGGTATGCGGCGCGTTTAAGCAAATGGTTGACTTGTATCTGGTGTCCCACAGGGACATTGTTGCTCTGGAAGCTAAATTTGCGGAATTGGTACTCGGGAGAGTCAAGGTCGCGATGGAGGATGTTGTAGCTTGAGAGGCCTGCATTTCCAAAATAACCCCTACTCTGGCGCTGATTTCAATCAACAGGTCTGCGTCCTATAGCTACCAGTTGTGGCTGAAGCCTGCGCCTTTCCGTCCCGAGAACAGCCCTGGTGAGCTGGGGCGCAGTACCCTGAGGCGGTTGCTGTCCAATCTCTTGGGTTATGCCGTTTGGGAAGGGTGCATTGATATTGGTTGGGGCAACCCGACGTCTCTTGCGAGGTGGTTTATCGGTAGCGGCAGCCGCAAAAAGTGAGTCGTTATGGGCAGGCGTATCGGCGTACTGCAGTTCGAGACGATTGTACTTGGGGCTGAGTCGGCAGAACTGACCAAGGGCGCTTCTGAACGTCGCCTTGTGATTAAGTGTCTTCATACCGAGTACCTCAAGCAGCTCCTTCACGTGAGTACGTGAGGATGGTGTGACCGTTGACATCTTGTTCACATAGACGAGTCTCGAGTTGTGGGGGGAGCTTTGACGAGTCTGTTGGCAGCTTCCAGATTCGATTCTGGGAGCAGAGCTCTCGTACGACCCGCTCGACTCCTCAATCCCAAGGATCATCATCCATCTTCTAGTTGGATGCTGTGTGTGTTTGTGGCCGCGGTACCGGGGTTCGAGGTACTTATTTAGCTCGAGACGTTGCTTTCTAGAAGATGCGAACGGCCTGTGAGCGATGCGCTTGGGTACAGGGTACGAGAAGAAAGGTGATTGAGGGGGAGAATAAATGACTTACCTGTTTTCGGTTCGAGTTGTGGATTGATGCCAAAATTTGGGTGACCAGGTCATCGCCGCGAGGGGGTGTCAAGAACAAGAAAAGCCCTGCAGGAACCACGAAAGATGGGAAGGTGGGAAGGCAGGGAGGCCATGAGAACCAAGTCCAAACAGGTGTGTCGCAAAGAACTGGATTTGGATGCCCGAGGCAGCCATCGTGAAGAAACTACCTGGACCTGGACGACAACATGGGGCGCGTGACAGCAGCTGAGGTCGACCAGGCAAAGCGGGAAGCCCAGGTGACATTGCGTCCATCAAGCAACAAGAATTTAAAGCTAACCTAGTTTACAAATTTATTATAGGAGTAGAACAATGACGGCAGCCCATACCGTCTGGAATAAATCGCAAAGAGCGATAGAAAGTACAATGTACACCTCGTGAACAGGCATGGCGTACCGTTGGTAATTGTATCTCTGAGCTGGAGATGGCGGCGGGTGTTGATGATTAGGTTAGCCTTGCACAGACAGATCGGGCTAAGATTTAGGGACCCCGCATCACCCACTTGATACCCGTACCAACTCCCAAGAACCACCGGAGGCCTGAGGCGATCATGCGGGGCCACCCCACTCAGCTGCTGCAGGGCTTGGTAGCGGGGGTAGGTGTCCTGCCCCGTAATGACAGCACGTCCTTATGTCAAGCAGATCCCATTCCGCATCATCACAGTCAACTCCTCCTCCAACGCCCACACCCACACCCACACCCACGCGCCCATACACGCACAATCCACTACAGCAGAAGATGGCAGCCGAGACTGCGACCTCCGACCCGATCACCATGTCTGACATGGCGGCCCTCGTCAAGCTCCAACACGAAGCCTAAGGTACGCACTCTCATTCGACATGACCCTTCTTTATCCCATGCAAAGTGTCATACGATATGACCTGACTCGTTATCAGATCAATTGGGAGAAGCTTGCCGCCAGAGCCGGCTTTAAGGATGCTGCTGCAGCCAGAGCTCACTACGCACCATTCCTCAAGCCCGATCGGCCCAACACGTCCCTAACCGACCGAGAAAATCCCTACGATGCCGAAAACCGTCCTAAACAAACCGCACTCAAGCATGTCTCCCTTGCCGGCCCGCCGCGCGTCAAAAAAGAGGAGGGCAGCTACAGCTACCTGCACGATATGGAGGATGGCGAGGTAGATAGCCAAATTAGGAAAGGCATACAATCATTTGGATCTGAGACGGGGCAAGAGAATACATTTGGGTTTCCCAGTGAGCTTATATCCACCACTTTCCCTATCTATTCGATTGTTATCCGCTCTCGATACCAATGTGACAGACGCGCTCGAAGAGATTGCCAACGGCAACCTCTCGCTCCTCACTTGGAATCGCCTGTAGCTGCCGCTATAGAAGGTCAATGCCTAATGACGGCAGCCGACCGAATAAACCACCATTCTAGAGTCCCGGACCAGGGGAATTGCACCCAGCGCTCCGACTGGCCCAGTGGTGGTAATGGTCCAGCATCTACAGTCACTCTCACTACCCGTCTCTCGCCTTGGCACCGCACAGCAGCCATGTACAGTTGCGTACTGCACACCCGAAGCGGGCTTCCCATCCAGTCCAGGCGGCACATGCCCAGGCAGGCTCGATTACCATCTTCGTAACGTACTATCATTCCATCAATATAACATCGGCTGTCTTTGCCCTGGCCGCGTTCAATACAAGGTGTGATCTCGACAATGCCATCCAAGGCGCAGGATGAGTAGTGATGGTAGGGATTAAGAGACCTCTCCAAGACTGGAGCAGGGCATGGGTCAAACCGCAGTTGCGGCTAATCCAAAGCGATATCGAAAGAATTGCTTTCAGACTTGTATAGGTCTGTGATATAGATGGTCGACGGAGAGTTCGGCATCTTGAGCCTGAAATTAAACTGGTCACCCAACTGGTGAATGATACCGTAAGGTCCAAACATGACTCTTCGTCCACGATTTGTAGCAAATTAACAGCTATATGAGTAAAGAACTCGAAACGGTGGATAGAGTACCTACAGCCAAGGCAAAGGATGCAATAGACGTGTATGGTGCAGTGCCCGAGTATTGAGCCCTCGTAAAAATCGAGTCGATATGTTTCCCCTTTGTTCATTAGAAAATGGACCCAAACGTTGGCGTCGGATGGGCAGCCATAACTGTTTATCTGTTGGTAGAAGTCCATCCTGGCACACGGCTTGTGCTCAAAAATCGAGATCACGTTGTTACCTATGCACTGTGCTAAGTAGCCGAGTACATCAAAGGCATTACATACAAGCATTGTAAGACGACACCGCGATAATCTATTTGTCTTGGACTGCGATGACCCAGGTGTATTAACTGAGTGATCTCGATGCCCGGCTCAGGTCGAAGGATTGCAGTTGAGTTTGTAGCAAAGCAATCGGCATCCAAGGGCGAGATCTGCCGAACTTTGAGGCCCTGCGCAATTATTTAGTACATTTAATGACGACGTTATTATTAAAAGCTCACATCGTGTTTAACCCGTACGTGTGTACAGGACAGGGGGATCCGACACCACCACAGATCGCGTATATCACCAAGAAGTAACAAATCATCCGAGTCGAAGTGTAAGACCCTGACGCCGAAATAGTCACCCCTGATGTTAAGCCTGTGTTTTTGTGGGAAGCTTTGGTCCCTAACTGGCAACAAGCCAGGTACCTGGGGATTGTACAGATTTGAAATGTACCGATTCCCCTCTATGATTCTATACTCGATGCGGATATCCATGGAGAGGTCTAGGATTGTCTCTGACATCGCGACCAGTGTGGCGACAAGCTGCCCTGCTTTGGATGTAGAGTATTCCCGCACGAGATAGCCAGAAATCATGCACCACACTTCCTGTGGCAGGGTTCTGGGCCAATCTTGTCGTTGAAGCTTGCAGGACAGCTCCCGGTCCAGGGAATTCCATCTTGTATTCATCCATGACACAGACGGGGAGAACAGATACCTCATCGCAGGCCGGAAACTGTTGCTTAACTGAAAAGCAGCAATTTCACGACACTTTTCATGGAAGCCAGGAGCGGTCTCGCTGTCGGGTAAATGTGTAACACCTGTTTTGGCAATCAGGTTTCCTTCTCTATATCGAGAGCTCGAACCTCTATCGTCAAGTCGGAAGTGTATAGTCGAGTTGTCCATTTCCACTGTGCATCATCAGAAAACTTGATATGTGCAAACGGTCAAGAATTAGGTACCTGTCACAAGATCCCGATCTTGAAGATAAAAGTGACAAAGCCAGCATAGCTGCCCGTCGAGGAACCGACTTATGATAGGTTCCTCGTCCTCGTCCGAAGTTGACATTGTGATCGAGGTAGGTGTAAGAAAGGTCGATCAAATTGGGTTGCTCGTGGTAGATGTGGAAACGATCCATTGATTAAGTTGCTGGTTATGCTTTTACATATTGCACTGTTGCTAGGTCTGCGTGACCAACCAATAGAAGAACATGATTGCAGCTAGCCTCGTCCTGAGACTTTTGCTCACGGGTGGGAGAATTACGACGAGGAGCAGAAAATGTCGGGGTTCTTGGCCACGTACACGTGCCTCTCAGCTGTCAGGTACCGAACACCATCCTTCCTTTGCCACTTATCTCTGGTCGAGGTCACATGCCGATCCTTGTAATCAAGGTATGTGTACTCTGTAGCCCTCGACCTATGTCCATCTGGGTGGGGCTGAATACCCCGCCTCCTGGCTCGCCGGCATGGGGCCCTCTTGGTAGCCTGCAGCAGCTGGAGGCAGTGCTCTGGGTGGCAGGGTATTCAGCCTGACCTTCCCCAAGTGAACGTAGTTGTTCAAATCGCGAGGGCAATGCTCGCATAGGAAGAGCGAAATGGACGATAAGCGTAACGCTGTCGACTTTTTCAATGCTAATAGCAAAGAACTAAAGCTTGAATACGTGCCCAATGGCAAGACCCAGCAATCACCGTTAGCAGACCCCTACGCCGATGCGTACGACATCGCAAGCCGATGTCGCGAGTGGACCTCTTTTCAATCGTCGTCGGCGCTCTTAGCGCACTTGATGCCAGGACACTTCTCTACCCCTTGGAGAGGCGCAAGCCTCGTATGGCCAGAGCGGATTGCCTACACGGAGAAGACGGTCGAGATGGTATACGTGCAGACCCTAGTTAGACGCATCAACATCGCCATGAACGTGCTGGGACGCGCCACGACCATCATCGGTACCCCCGGGTCTTTCCCCAGCATGGCTATCGATTTCGAAGGAGTTGAAACGACCATCAAGCCCGACTGGCTCGTCGTGCGTGGTGTCTCGCCCGAGGAGTCGCCGCCCGAAGTGCCGACACTGCAAAACAACCACGTCTGCGCCGTGGGAGACACCAAACTCCTCCATCCGGACAGCGTCACGGCTGAGCGTATGGCGCAGGACATCCTGCCGGGAACGAGCACATGCCATAAGTCGTTCATCGGGCAGGTGGTCCACTATTGCATAAACCTAGGGGTACGGTTCGGGTTTGTGCTAACCAACACGGAGCTGGTGGTGATGCAGGTCCTGACCGAGGACAGCAACATGCGGGATTGGCCCGTCTCGACACGGTCCAGGGCCCTGCGTGTGCCCTCTCCCGCAAGCGACATAAGGCTCCCTGGTTCAGACATATACAGTGGGGTGACAAAAAAACCAAACACCCCGCCCCAACCCCGCGATTTTTCGCGTTTCCTCTTTTC